GTAGGCAATTTTTTTCTTTTTTTTAATGACTCTTTAGCAGCGCTTTTTTAAAAAGCGTTGTCTATGTATGCGCTGCTAAAAGTCAATTATGGCGTAGTGTTAACTGATTAACCCTACAGGTTAATCGGTTAACACTGTTATAAAAGTCCAAAATACTGAAATTTGAAGTGCGTTAATCGGTTAACCAAAACTGTTAATCGATTAACACTGAAGGTTTTTGTGAAAATACTTAAATTAAAATAGAATGAGTATTTTAAAATGGTTTTGAAATTGTTAGTGATAATTGTGAAGTGAAAGTGATTTTTAAGAACACTTGTATAAATATCTTAAGTAAAATATGTTATATCGTTCCTTTGAATCATCATCACCACTTGTAGCTTATAGACGAAGCTTCGATTCATAAAGTCATACGCGATAATACTTTCTTGTTCTTGATTGATTGCTTGCGTCTCTTACTTTTGCGAAGAATTTAGAGGATTCAGAAGACAGGTGAGGTGCTTCTGGTTTTATCTTCAATATATACCCCTACGGGTATATAGTATAAGCATCTTGCGTATATACCCCCTACGGGTATATAGTATAAGTATCTTGCGTACCAAGCTTGTACTAGTTATCTTCACCAAAACATAAAGGTCTTGAAGCTTGCTTCTACAAAACATAAGAAAACTAATACTAATACTACTGAACACGAATTACTTCTAACAAGTACGACGACACTCTAATTCAAAATACAAGAAAGAGATACCCAACCAACTAATTTTTGACATACAAATCAAAGGAGATGGACAATAGTCATAAAAACAAAATTTTCCATTTGACATATCTCCTATTAAAGACCATCTCTATAAAGGAACTTAATAAACCATACCATGTTATTAACATTACAGAACTGACCATTGAAGAGGATGTCATTTCTATGCTTCCATAAACCTCAAATGAAAGCCCACCAAATGATCTATACTCTATTCTTTTTAACCTTCTTAGAGAAAACATTGCTGCTAAAAATGAAACAGCTAACTAGATCTTTCCCTTCTGAAACGTCGAAACTGATCCATTTCTTAATTGCAATCCAAATCTGTTTTGCCACCCTACATCCTAGAAACAGGTGCTTCAAATTTTCTTCAAAATCAAAGTAGAAAAACATAGAAGATCGTGGATAGAAGAGATAATACCTCTTTTATTAAGTTGATTCTTACTAGCTAACATGTTCTACAAAGATTTTCAGCCGAAGATTTTAATATTCATGGAAGTTGAGATTCCCACAGCAAGGTCCAAACCTTCTCGTCCACAATGCATGTGATCCATAAATTATTCTCCTCCACAATGACAGAATAACAAGAGCCAACTGAGAAACATCATTCCAAATCGATAGTCTACGACAGTCCCTCCTCTTTATTCTTGAATAAAGTGTATTATTCCAATAGAGACTTAATGTCTAAAGATGTATAACACCGTCTCATTTGACCCTCGACCGTTAAACTCAAGTCTCCGTAACTCCACAATCCATTCACCCAAGATACCATGTTGCTGACAAAAGCATGCATTTTTGTGCTTATTCCATTTGAACAGACCAGGAAACAAATTTTGCAGAGGTTGGACCTCGCGCCAGTTAGCCGACCAAAAGGGTGTTGTGGTCCCTTCCGCTACACTGAATATACTGTTAGTTGAAAAATCAAAATGGTTTTTGTCTGCTCTTATTTTGAAAGAGACGAGGTCAATTCACCAAGTTAAAACCGAACCCTTAAAACAATATAAGTTTCCAGTCATAATAAGATGTTTGTAGTAATTACCGTACCTTGCTCTTAGAATGTAAACCCAAATAGCGTTCTTATCATTCAACAATTTCCACTTCCATTTACTCAAGAATTCCAAATTAAAGTCTTAAATATCTCTCACCCTTAATCCACCCTTCGACTTTTTCTGACGTATTTGGTTCCAATTAACGCAATGAGGAGGAAACAAACCAAATAGGAGTACTGGTCGAAATCCTTTGGTTGATCAGGTTTTTTTCCTAAGCTTGGGGACTCTTTTGTGTGGTATAGAGGATGCCATGGTTTTTCTGTTAAGAGACGTTATAGTGCTTTGTCATAGTTATGTAATGAGGAGTTGGATTTGGAGGAAGAGAGATTTAGAAGGTTGGATAAGGTGTGGAAAACCAAGATGCCGAGTAGAGTATAAACTTTCAGATAAAGACTCCTTCTCAATTAGCTTCCGACTAGGATTCAACTTGTAAAACAAGGGCAAACGAGTATGAGTGTCTCGAAACTCAACTTATATATGTTTCCCTTATTTTTTTGTCAAACTAGTACCGGTCAAGATATTATCTCAGTCGCGGGAACATGGAGTTTGGGTGATTTCAAATGTCGGTCCAGCATAGAAGCTATCAGTTTTTAAAATGCATAGACATCCTTAAACCTTTAATTAAACTGTCTTACCTATTATATGGCAGTCTCTGCTGTTGAACAACTTCAAGTGATGGCTTCAAAACGTCAATACAAAGAGGCTGCCGCACAGCTGGAGGTATCTAATATATCTTTATACGTTGCTTTTTATATGTTGATTTACTGTATGATGTGTACCTTGCTATTATATTGGTGTTTTGTGTGTGTATCGTGGAGGTGGTTTTATAAAGAAAATCTATCATAGTTCTGAAGGTGTGCGATGAAATAATATTTGTGATTATTGTGTTAGTTTGTAATGCATATGTAGTTTAGAATTTAGATTTTGTAAGTAGGGTTTAATAATGTTTTATTTAAGATTACTTAGTTGGTTAGGTCCTATGACCATTAATGACAACCTGGTGCTATGGAGCTCCAAGTGGTGGTCTTATTGTGCAGTTGTAAGAGGTTGATTCTACAACTCAAACTTGTGGATTGCTATACCATAATGTTTTTCTGTCTCGAAAACATAGTTCAACAAAACATCTGTCATCGATTTCCTCATCGCGAAACGGTCACAAACCAGCTTAGAATATATCTTGTGGTACACATTTTTCAAGTCTTAAGAAAGACCTCTAGATAGTTTCATGTGATCTCTTGTAAATTTTTTTGGACATAATTTTCAATGTATTCCGAGTTTTTGGGGCTGTTTTTTGTTGTAGCTATGACTACTTTTTTTTGTTGTTGTTTCAATCTATGTAATATTTTGATAACTCTTACTTCATATGTGTTATATGTTAAAGCATAATATCTTTTTGCTTCTAAATTTTATGTGTCATTTGCTTATCTATATTTTGTTATATGTGCTTTTGTTCTATGGTTGTTTTTTTGAAGAAGACATAAAATTATTTATGATCTTGATAAATTGATTGAAGGAGAACACAACATGACATAATTGTCATCTATTGGAAAACATGGTCAGCATGTATAGATTCTACAATTGGAAAGCATGCATAAATTTGTTGACTTTTACAATTTGACTTTAGCCTCGGTTAGACTAAAGTTAAATATTTTGTTGACTTATGAAGTTTGACTTTAGCCTCGACTAAGCCGAGGCTAAATATTTTATTGACTTATGAAGTTTGAACTTAGCCTCGAATAAAACGAGGCAAAATTTGACTTTAGCCTCGATCAGGCCGAAGGCTAAATATTTTGTTGACTTATGGAGTTTGACTTTAGCCTCGGCCAGGCCCAGGCTGTTTTTTTGTTGTTGACACGGCTAAACCGAGGCTACTGTAGACACGGCTAAACCGAGGCTAATGTAGACACGGCTAAACCGAGGCTATTGTGGACACGACTCTTTTTGTCCAAAGCTAAATGTTAGCTTCGATTGTTTTAGCCTTTTCCCGACACCGACGCTACGCCGATGCTAATTGGCTAGTAACGTCGGTTTTTTGCCTTATGGTGTCGATAAATGGTCGAGGCTAAATACTGTATTTCTAGTAGTGAGAGCTACCCCAAAAGAAACTCCTTTGAACTTTTTCGATCTCATTATAAACCTTCGCTGAGGCTTTCAAGAAGGATAACAGGAAAATACGCAAATTGTTAAGAATGAATTTAATTAGAGTGAGCTTTCCACCTTGAGATAATAGATACCCTTCCATCTAGCAAAAAATTCCACTTTCCAATCCTTTTAATGTGTAATGCTTTTGTTAGAGACTCCGTCGGCCAACCAAGCTCCACCTTAAAAAGAGAGGAATTATTACTATGAGTCATAACATCGTGCGCCCACTCTGCTTTTCTCAAAATGCAAACCATCTCTTCTTATTCTTCCCACTCAATGTTATGTTGTGGTCGAATATTTATGTTTGGCTTAGAATCCCTTATGTTGTTGTAGCATAATCGATTAATCAACATCTTCCATTTCAGTTTTTCTTTCTATATCAAATTCAATAATAAATTGTATTGCTTTTCCGGTCTGCAGTTTGTTGGATTATCTGATTTTATAAGAACAACATTCTTGTCAAAGAAGAGATTCTATCTTCTTGAAACCTTTTAGATAGGATTAAAATTACTTTTAACTTTTGAAATGATATCATGTAAAAGTCAACAACGCTTTAAGCCATAAATAGGTTGATTAGTCTATTGATATGGACATATGCATTGATTTTAAATCCTAAATTTTTGCTTTCTTTTCTTTGTATCAAATGTTTAATATCCTTAACAAAGAGTTTGTTTAGAAAGAAAAAAAAAAGTAACTAACCGTTTGTGAAAGTGAACCATAGATGAATCAGATCTTTGATGATTTACCTAATACACCACCTAAATAAAATATTTTAAAAATAAAGTTGATTATTTATGATGTTATTTACGATGCAAATGTCAGCCGTTGATTATTTTACAATATATCTTGTATTGAACAAACCAAAAAAAATAAAAAATCTAAAGTAGTGTATTCAATACCAACGCAACTTATAGTTTTGTACTCATTTGTCGTACCACATGCTATTTATTTGACTCAGCTGCATTGGTATCATCAAACAACAACAACACGTTACAAACAACACCATTCAAAACCTGTGAAATCCACGAACCTTGAAACACCATATACCAATTCCTAAGATGTCGGAACCAAACACAAACCTGCGAACTCGACCAAGGTTTTTAACACCGTTCTTAGCTATAGTTCTTCCGGTTTTTGTTGCAGCAGCGGTTGTCTACCGGCTCGACCCATTCGAACCGGCTCATATACCTCTCAACGAAGTGAACCGGTCCACGTTGACCACTCCCTTACGTAACGAGCGCATGCGAATAGGATCTGAAGACCTAGCAAAAGGACAAGTTGTTGGACCTGAAGATTTGGTGTACGACGCTGCTACGGGTGTCGTTTATACCGGATGTGCAGATGGGTGGGTTAAGCGAGTTACGCTGAATGAATCGGTGGTTGACTCGGTGGTTGAGAACTGGATCAACACTGGAGGAAGACCACTTGGGCTCGCTTTGGAGAAAACTGGTGAACTCATTGTTGCCGACGCAGATAAGGTAATTTCACTGAAATATTAGATTTTTTGAACATTTTTTCTAAAATATAGCAATCCCATTACTATATGATTTTAAACATATATTATTGAAATAAACATAATTTTAAACATTGAATCATTTAATTGAAAAGTATACTATAAGTTAAGTGACTCATTCAACCCAAAATAGTAAAGACGGTGACATCATCTCCTATTTTTGTATACTACTCGATATGTGTGATTTAGATAAATATTTTTCAAAAAATAATTTAATAGTTGCAATTCATCTTATTAAAAATAAATAAATATATAAAATATCATAGATTCATATATATAAAATATCGTAGATTCATATTTATCTTTAAAATAACATGTAAATGGTAGCCTTCTTTTTTTATCCGCTCATGTATTTAGTGTGAGATGCTTATGATATATTTTCCCGGGAAATAGCACCGTCATTATAAAATTATGATAAAGAATATGTTTTTGTTAGTTAGGTTATGTGTATACCTAGATCTATATATTTCTATCTATTATATAAGAAAATATTAAATTTGTGTATGCTTTTTTCTTTAAATTTAATTGGGTAATTAACCAAAAAAGGTACCCAATTGATTATTCAATAAATTTTTAGATGAGCTATATATTCAACGAGTTATTGCATAATGGCTTGTTGTGAGTTGTGAGTGTGACCACTAACATATATATAAATTTAATCTAATTAATTTTATTTTATGAGTTATTCAATGTTTTATTGCCGACACTTTTTTTAGTAGGTGCTTGGTAACGTTGTTGTGAGTTTGTGCCCACTTATTTATCTCATCTAATTAATGATACATAGGGATTGCTACGAGTAACAAGAGAAAAGAAGATTGAGTTGCTTGTGAATGAAGTTGAGGGCTTAAAATTCAAATTAACAGATGGTGTTGATGTAGCACATGATGGCACTATTTATTTCACCGATGCTTCACACAAATACTCAGTCAAGGATTCTCTCCTAGATATATTAGAAGGAAAACCTAATGGTAGGTTTTTGAGCTATGATCCATCTACAAAAGAGACAACCCTACTACTTAGTGACCTCTATTTTCCTAATGGAGTTGTTGTCTCACCAGATCAACATCACGTGGTTTTTTGTGAAACTCTCATGTAAGTTGTTTATTAGCTTGTTTATTTTTAAGGTCTATGATTATTTTCATTTTACCTAAAAAATGTCATCTTATAATCTTACTTTTAGGTTAATTTATGTTTTCAAACGTTAGGTTAAGATTCTTAAAAAAATATTTGTGATTTTTTAGACATGTTTTTGTGTAAGTATTATTTAATAAAAAAATGCAATTATTCAGTATAATTAATTTTTGAAAATATTATTTTAATAGAAGAGAGTATTGGATCCTAGGCCAATACATTTTGAAATGAAAAATAATATTGAATGAATTTATAATGGACCTATGGTCACTTGTATAAGGTGACCCATCATGTTTGTTATAACAAACTAACTATTTCTAATGGGCAAGTTATTTAATAAGTTGAGAGTATTATAGTTATTAACATTATAGTTATGTGTTGTTAAGATAATTATGGATTGTTGAGAGTATAATTAATTTTTGAAATTATTATTAGGTTGGTAAGATAATTATAAGTTATTTAGAGTATAACTCATATTATTGAGATATATATTGGTAGAGATAATTGTTTATTGAGGGAAATTAGAGATTAGGATTTTAGATAAATTAAAATTTAGTATTATATACATTGTTTGCAACATTGTAATATAATGCAATTCACAAGACATGAATAAAGGGAACTATAGCTATTCTATAGTTGTATATATAGACAATTTAGCCGAATTGCGTGAACAAAACTTTTGTGTGTTTCTATCTAGTCTAATATGTATTCACGTTTTTGTTCTAACAATTGATATCAGAGCCTGGTTGGGGGAATAGAAGTGGATTTTAGTGTGGTAAAGGCCAGTGATGTGGGTGATTCACACTTGTGGAGAAGATTGTTGGATTTCAAGTATAAAAGTGCTAAAGGCCCACATCAGACTAGGAATAGAGGAAATATTGAGTTTATAAGATAAGTGAAACATACCCCATTGCCTTAAGGTTTTGGGTGGATATGTGGCGTTAAAGTCTTTTAAACCTCGAACATTTGGTATCATATGACACTTAATCCTAGAGGTGCGGAATTTGAAGTGACTCGGTTCGACGGAACGAGTAATTTCGGTTTATGCTAAAGAATGGTTAAGGATTTGTTAGCTCAACAAGGTTTATAGAAGGCTCTTCGTGATGAAAAACCAACAAATATCATGACCATTGATTGAAACGAGATGAAAGAGAAGATCACATGTTTGATAAGACTTTGTGTTTTTGATGGCGTGATGAATCATATCCTAGACCTCATAACTCCGAAACAACGTTTCTATAGCTTGAAGATGCACGAAGGAGTTGATTTTCAAACTCATGTCAATGCTTTCAACAACATCATCGCTGAATTGACACGGCTTGATGTGACGATGAGAATAAAGCTATTATTTTTCTGTGCTCTTTACCATGCTCTTATGATTACTTGGTGACCAGTTTCACATACGAGAAAGAAACAATCATGTTGGATTCTATTTCTTCTACTCTTTTGCAACACGCACAACGTCACCAAAATGTAAAGAAAGATGGAGAAAGTTTAAATGAAAATTTGTTTGTGGAGAGACCAAAACAATGTCCTTTCCGTAAAATGATGCATTAGGAAAAATAACAGAAAATTTTTAGTGTCTTATCTCGACAGTCAGTCAAAGTTCTAGCATATGCTAAACAGCTAAAAGCTTTTAAATATAAGAATGTAGGAAAATTATGAAAAAGTCATTGAAAATGAAAGTTATTTGATAAACTAGGGTGAGAGAGGTGTTTTATTAAAAAGATAGCATAACTTAAATCACATATGAGCAGATGTTTTTAGGAGGAAGATGTGTGTGAAAGAGCAAGGTTCTAGTAAAATTCAAAAGATGTTTATGTTTTCTTTCCACAACATCATTATGTGGAGTTTCCTATAAACAATTGTACCCTAAATATCCAAATTTGGGGCTCAAACCATGTTACTTACACACTTTTGAATGTTATAATTTGTCTTAATTTATTGTATGGACTAATATTACAGGATGAATTGCAAGAAATATTACATACAAGGCCCAAAAAAAGGAAGCACAGAAAAGTTTTGTGACCTTCCTGGAATGCCTGATAATATTCATTATGATGGACATGGCCAATATTGGATTGGAATAGCCACGGTATCATTGAATCCACTATTTATTTTTATGATTTATTAAAATAAAGACTAATTTTAATTCAAAGATATTTTATTATATTAATGTTGTTTTTTGGTGCATTTTTGGCAGGCTATTTCTCCTGAACTTGATATACTGCTGAAATATCCTTTTATTAGAAAAGTTTTGGCAATCATCATAAAACAATTTCCAAGTTTGAGTCTCACAAAGAACGGTGGAGTTATAGCTATGGACTTGGAAGGAAAACCAGTTACACATTATTATGATTCCAAATTATCGTTAACCAGTGGGATTAAGATTAAAAATCACATATATTGTGGTTCTCTTTCATATCCTTTTATAATACGCCTTGATATTGAACAATATCCTGCTCTCACTACAATTTAAACAACAATGATATTTCTCATAGGACTATGATGTACAAATCAATATCAGGTGTTTGATGAACTTTAGTACTATTTAATTATACTCATTACAATTGAGATATAATTCCTGGTAGAATATGTTTCTAAAAATTGATTGTGAGGTTCTGATCAGTTATGACTTTATTGTCATCATGGTTGAAAGTAGAAATGAATTTAGTTGAATTCTTTATCTTGGTACACATGTGAAAAAAAATTGGGTGACTTTGTCGCCATCATTACTTCATTTGATTCTTGATTTATCCCTCCAAAAAACTTCTTCCATATTCAAGAAAAATTCTAGCTCATTTTGAACATGGGACAACCAATCACCTCGGTTTTCCATTTCCTTGCAAGAATGTTTTCGCAGTCCTTGTCAAGAGACCACATTTGCATGAACTTAAATTGAAAAGTGTTTGAAATTTGATGTTTTGAAAACTTCTTCTATTCTTTACTTTTCCTTTAAATCAGATTACAAATATTAAAAAATAACAAATAATTCTCTCACCCTAATTAAGATTTACCACACTTAAGATGAGAGATTAGTATGCTATTTATAATAAAACCTAACATATTAAACTAATGTGTTTTTTAACAATTACTCATTACAAGCTAACTTAGAGTATAAGTTAACTTAAACAATTGGACATAACAAACAATCCCAATTCGTCATGCTAACAAATCTAGCATTTTCGACAACTGCATGCTTGACCCTACTTCGACTACAACATACACTACTTCGATAACAACATGTGAACGGCTTTCGACTGCATGCTAAACATTTGTCGAATTGTCGAACCAAGAAGGTACCTTCGATCATATACTAGAGTTCGATTCAATATCTCACAAATCTTCCCCTTGGAACAAACTTTATAACATCAAGGAACAAACTAGCTTTCTTCATGCAGCTTTATCAACTGCATACAGTGAAAAAACTTGCAACTGAGCAATGTCTTGGTGATCATATCAGCAACATTATGATCTGTCGAAACCTTCAACACTTGGACTTCTCCGCGCTCGATTACCCCTCTAACGAAATGCAACCTCACATCGATGTGCTTGAATTGCTCACGATAGGCTGAATTCTTTGACAGGTATATTGCCCTTTGACTATCACATTTAACAGTGATAACTCAACCTTGAAGTTTCAACTCCTTTGCAAAACCATCAAGCCACAGTGATTTCTTCATAACTTCAGTTAGGGCGATATATTTAGTTTCAGTGGTTGATAAGACAACAACCTTTTGAAGTGTTTCTTTCCAACTAATTGTTGTGCCAAACATAGTGAACACATATTCAAAAATAGACTTTCTGGAATCCATACAACCTGCATAATCAGAGTCGGCATATCCTTCGATTGCTGCTTTACTATCTTCGCCCATGGTTCCACCATAAATTAAGAATCTGTTCAGAGACCCATTTATTTACCTTAGAATCCACTTCAATGCTTGTCAGTGAGCCTTTCCATAATTTTCCATGTACCTACTTACTAGACTTACTGCATATGTTATGTTGGGTCTAATACAGACCATAACATACATCAAAGAACCCACTATATTAGCATATCGAATGCTATTCATATAAGTTATTTCGACATCAGTACTAGGACACTGATCTATACTCAGCTTGATTTGAGGGTTTGTCAGAGTCACAACAGGCTTTGAATTCGACATACCAAACTTTTCTAGAATCTTCCGTAGGTATGCCTCTTGAGATAAGCATAATTTTGACTGTTTTCCATCTCTTTGGATGTCAACCTCAAGAATCCTGGACGCAACTCCTAGATCCTTCATGTCGAACTCCTTATTAGGTTCAGTCTTCACCCTCATTACATCTTCGAAATTGTTGCTTGCTATTAGAATATCATCCACATAAAGCAACAAAATAACAAATGAATTACCAGGTTGAAATTTGAAGTAAACACAGTGGTCGAACTAACTTCTAATGAAAGTTATATGTGTCATGAACTTGTCGAATCTTCTATTCCACTGTCGAGGAGATTGTTTCAGTCCCTATAAAGATCTCTTCAGCTTGCACACATAATCTTCCTTCCCCCTTTTGACATACTCTTCAGGTTGCCTCATCAGGATTGTTTCATCTAGATCACCATACAAGAATGCAGTCTTGACATCCATCTGTTCTAGTTCAAGGTCGAACTGTACCACCATGGCAAGCAACATTCAAATGGACCTATGTTTCACAATAGGAGAGAACACATCATTAAAGTCGTCACCTTCTTTCTGAGTGAAACCCCTAGCGACCAATCTTTCTTTGTATCTCTTCAGTGCCACTCCTTCGATTCCTTCCTTAACTTTGAAAATCCATTTACAGCTGACTAACCTGTCTCTAGCAGGTTTCTTGATCAGTTCTCAGGTGTTATTATCATGAAGAGATTTCATCTCATCATCCATGACCTTCAGTCATTCTGTTTTATTTTGACTCCTCATAGCTTCCTTATAGTGTTTAGGTTCTTCGTCTAGAACCTCACTTGTAGAGATTAAGGCATAAGCTATAAGATCTGCATACCCAAGTCTTTGAGGTGGATTGATGAATCTCATCCACCTATCTCTTGACAATAGGTATTCATCAACAATTTCTTCAATTTCCTCAGTATCTTCTGCTTCTTCTTCGACTTCATATGGGATACACAATTCAGCATCAACATGCTCCACCTTAACAGGAATCTCTCCCTATTTCAGCTCTTCGTTAGCATTATCAGTTTTTTTGAAGATCGTCTTAGTTTCATTGAAAACTACATCTCAACTGGTGATACACCTCCTATGACCTGACTCTAGGCACCATAACCTATAAGTTTTGACTCCTTCAGGGTATGCCATGAACATGTATTTCAAAGCTCTAGGTTCGACCTTGCCTTTCCTAATGTTAGCATATGCCACACAGCCAAATACTCTTAATTTGTCGATATATGGTGGATGTCCCGACCAAACTTATTCAGGTGTCTCCATATATAATATAGTTGAAGGACATTTATTTATCAGATATGTTGTTGTCGATATTGCCTCAACCTAAAGCACCTTCTTTAACCCAACACTAGTCAACATGTATCTAACTCTTTCCAAAATAGTTTGATTAAACCTTTCCGCCAAACCATTTTTGTGTGGAGTACCTGCAGTAGTTTTGTGCGTTGCAATACCTGAGCCAGCACAAAAGCTGTCGAACGCCTCATTGCAAAATTCAAGGCCATTGTCAGTTCTAAGCCTCTTGACCTTTCTACCAGTGTGATTTTTGATCAGAGTCTTCCAACCTTTGAAGTTCTTAAAAGTTTCATCCTTAGTATTCTGGATGAATACACATAACTTTCTAGAATAATCATCAACTATGGATAGAAAATACCTTGCGCCCCGATATGATAGACACGTCGCAGGCACCTAAAGATCAGCATGGATGTAATCAAGGGATACATGTGTTCTTTGTTTTCCTTTATTGAACTTCACTCTGCAAGATTTTCCAAGTATAAAGGGTTCACAAATTTCAGTTTTTTGACTTTGTCTCAACCAAGCAGATTTTGTTTCCCCAATTCGACCAGATCGTTTTCACTGACATGACCCAATCTCGTGTGCCAAATTTATGTCTTTAACAAAGTATTCATAGATGCAACATTTGTCGAACAACTTAACTTCAGCCTCAAGGGTATACAAGTGTTAGATCCCATTTAGATTAGATATTTGGTTTCTTTTTGGTAGTATTTTCACTCAATTTTATCTAATAATGTTTGATTTCGTAGTTGAATTGGTTTAGTTTGATTTTATGCGATCCAAGCGAAGAATGTTTGTAATATTGCTGTTAGTGTGCAGGATTGACACTATTAAGAGCACTTGGGATCAAGGCAAAGCAGTTGGGAGATGTTGCAAATCAAGACATTCGCCTGGCGAGCCACAGCGAGTGCCAGCGAATATTCGCCAGGCGAGTGCAGGCGAACTGGGGCGAATAAATCAGATTTAACTCCCAGACCCAAAGGATAGGAAGTTCGCCAGGCGAAGGTTCCAGCGAAGCTTCGCTACCATTCGCCTGGCGAAGGTGCTGGCGAAGAAGTGGTAGCTTTCCTCATGCAGATTCCAGTAGCAAAACCACCCAAAGTTCGCCTGGCGAGTGAAGCCAGCGAATGTTCGCCCGGCGAGTGTTTATTCGCCTGGCGAATGCACGATTCCTAAGGGCGGTTTGCTGATCAAAGGCACTTTGAAGTGCCATGTTAAGTTGGTTCGCCGGGCGAATGAATGCCTTCGCCAGGCGAATGTGCGCAGACAGCACATCATTTTTACTTTATTTGTTGCTCTATTTAGCCCATACTTGGTACTTCAAAGTAGAGGATCTTGAAAAATCAAAAAGAAGACATTATTGGATAGCTCTAGAACCCTAAATACTTGAGTTCTTCTTCATCTTTACTATTTTTGTAATCAAGAGAAGTGGAAGCACATCCTTCATTGTTTCTTCAAAGTGGATGTTCTTCATCTTCTCCTTTCTTCTTGTTAAAGCTACCATGAAAATGTGTAGCTAAACTCATCTTTTGTCAAGGTTAGATGTAGGTGATTATTAAACTTTGTATGTGTATGGATGATCCTCATTTGTAAACTCTTGGATGATTAATATATGGTGAAAACTTTGTTTCATTTACAATCTTTTGTGTTGGTTGATGATTGAGAAATATTTTCCAACTCTAGACCTAGGTTTTCATCCTTCTCTTTTCTTGAGCTAGAGATAGTCTTGAAATGTTTTGTTCACTTATAATGTTGAACTTTAAAGTTGTCATTTGATAGATTGTGTGAGAGATCAACAATGGATCAAAATGGTAAATCTCACAATATGAGTTAGAGATAATCATATTGAGAGGATGTTGTGGATGTATTGATCATTAAAAGGAGTTTGTTAAATGTTGATTGGAAATATGCATGCAAAGTGATTACCGAACCCTAACTTTGGCAATATTTATTAAAACCGTTCAAATCATTATTTTACCGCATTTATTAC